AGAGGGATTGTGATACTGAAAGAAACTTCTCAAGGACACCCATCAGAATGGCAGCGCCAGACTATAGGGCGGTCAACTGAGCCCGACTTCGGTCTCTGAGTTCGTGGAAGATGGAAATGGTGGGTCTACGAAAGGAGTATCTGCTCTAAAATTTGGCGGAGGTTGAAAATGTGGTCTATACAACCTGTTCGAGGTTTGAAACCCAGCCTGGTTCTCACGCGTGCACTCTTCACGTGCGGCAAACAATCGACGGAGTATAAGACCAGCGAAAAGTTTTGAGACGATGTTGATTAAACTAATATTGCTGTGGTTTTCACCAGAGGATTTGTCATCTTGTAAATCGGTTTGATTACGGATTCAGTTGGAACTTGTTCTCTCTCCCTTAGCCCAGGAGTTTCGTCAACTCCAAGCCTAACGCTGAACCTCCATCATTAAAATCCGATGGGATCAACTCGTAAGGGCTGGAAGCTTTATGCCTTTTGAGATAACTTATTTCATGGGAATTCCCCATTCCAGATGGAAGACAAGCATCAAGTGGAAGTGTTTGATATGATGACGATCCGGGCCAGTTTAAGTGAAGCTTGAAATGTTCATCTTATCGATCAAGACGGCGTTGCTGAATATCAATNACTACCTATCTCTGAAGGGCCTGTCCGCGAAGTTTATTCAAATTCTGCGAATTCCTTTTAATAACAGCCGAAGCCGAGTCCTAGCATACAGCTTTGTTTCGGCCGAGTTCACTACGCAATGTGGTGTTCTTCAGGGTTGTCCTCTCTCTCTCTCACACACACACAGCGTTTCTGTTTAACTTTTTCATTAATTTAATTCTTGAAAAAGCTCTATTCGCGTGGCATCGATTTACTCCCAGGTGGCAGACTATCTGATTTAGAGTATGCGGATGACATTGTGCTACTAAGTGAAGATTCAGGAAAGTTGCAAGCTTTTCTGGATAGTTTGAGTGCTAGTGTAGCCATATTCGTTATGCGTTTTGCACCTTCAAAGTGTAAAATGCTACTACAAGACTGAGTTGGTCCAGCACCCAGTCCCACTCTAACTGGGTAAGTAATAGAGCAAGTGGATAAGTTTTGTTATCAGGGCAGCTACATCTCACTCGGTGGACGCATCACGGATAATGTGTCAGCTCACTTACAAAACGCTAGGTTGGTATTTGCGAACTTGAGACATCTGTGGCGCCGTCGGGGAATTCCCCATTCCAGATGGAAGACAAGCATCAAGTGGAAGTGTTTGATATGATGACGATCCGGGCCAGTTTAAGTGAAGCTTGAAATGTTCATCTTATCGATCAAGACGGCGTTGCTGAATATCAATTAGTGTGTCATCGGATTCCTTAATTACCTCACGCCTATCTTCCTGTGGTCCGTATTCCTAATTAGACGGGTAACATTGTGACTTTTACCGATCTTCGCAGCCTTCACCATCTCTGTACACTTTCGTACCTACCGCTTCTCGCGGTGATTGCTCAGGCTGCTGATGAGCTGGCGTTTGAGGGACTTGCGCGCTGTCATGTGTGGCATCGAGAGGGAGGGTTCTGCGGTCGTCCAGAAGGGTAACTGAGGTCGACGAGATCCATCGTTTGTGTCTTGAGCCTGCGCCACGTTCCGACGTTGTTTTTATTGGTATTTGCATAGCTTCCTTGATTTGCTTTCAATGTTCATTAAGTGCTTCGGCTGGTGGTTTAACTAATAGGCGATCAGAGAGTTCGGCTTCGACGGCCGATTTGCAACATTTGCTGGCGCTGTATCGTGGGTATCCGTTGTCGGTGGCTTTTCTGTGCGTGGTTTGCATGCGTAAGGAAAATTTGTATCGTAACAAAGTGTGGTTTGTATCCACAGGTGTTGACCGGTGAGAGCGGCACTCTTGAATGGCCCTCTCCGGTGGTAACTGATGGTGATGTGGTCGATTTGGGTTCAGCGCTATGAGGAGGTTGGCGGTTTCCATGTAAGGCCATGTCGTTTCTCGTGCAAGAAGATCGTGCTTGACAGAAACAGTCCGTCCTCCGCTCAGAGTTGAAGCAGACGATCTCCGTTGTCCATCCGGTTGGCTGGGATTGCGTGTGGTCCGTCAAGAAGCCCTTCTGATTCGTCCAGGGGTCCCACTTGCGCATAAAAGCCCCCGGCGACTATTACGAACATTTTGTAGTAATTGAGGAAGGTCCTTGTAGAACTCATCCTTGCTTTCAGGTGTAGTGCAATCGGTCGGTGCATACACTGTTTTGACAAATAAGCATCGACGCTTTCTTCTATAGCTGTTGACCGGTGATGAACCGCTAAGACGTACAGCGCATAGTCGGCAACTGATTAGATTGCAGTCAAGCGGCGAGCGCTCAGCCTTGGCACCTAGCGCAATCCCAACTCCAGCAATGCCGCGATCTGCGGATGCAGAATCGCCTGACACACAAAGGGTGAAACGTGAGGATGAGGTAGGACCAGTAGAACGCAGGAAGATAATGGAAGTAGGTTCTTGTATGCGTGTTTCGGAGACGCAGCACACATCTAAATTGAAAGCTGAAGTTCGTACTGCCGAGGAACAGGCGGTGGTCGGAATATACAGCCAACAACCGTTTCCCGAGCGACAGGAATCTAGTCCGAAAGGACCTCCCATTTGCCCTTTACTAGAAGTTAGCCCTCATACTCCAGCATCCATATCTACTGGTAAAGTCACGATATCAGCCCGATTCACCCCACACAAGAGATCGTGTAACTTTTGGTAGAAAGTATTTTTTAGTGTATCTGGGCTACAGTTAGTGGCACCGTACGCAGAGACAACAAATTAGTTGCGTTCTTCGGAGGAACGACTACTTACTTTGCACGAGCCTCTAAGTTTCACTGCGCATAACCTACTGCCGACTGGGACTCAGTCCAGGAGCGCCGCTCCAACTCTCTCACTTAGAGCCACGCCAGCGCCAGCGCCAGCAAAACCAGAAACCGCAGCCTCAGGGTTCTCAGAAAGACGCTAGTGAAACTTCGCGGGTGAGTTTGATGGGGACGTCAATCGGATAATGGAGCTGGAGTCTTGAATGCGAGTTTCTTGGATGCAACACATCGATAATTACGGTGTCCAAGGGCTGCTATTGGACTGGATTGATAAATTTCTCCGACAACGCACCGTATCGGTTCGAGTTAATGCTTCTCTGTCGGGACCGATTGAGGCTGTCTGTGGAGTTCCA